TTATTCGCGCACCTCAGATAATCCCACAGCCAGCACGCGGGTGCCATCGCGATCTCTTCTTCTGGAATGTGATACATAAAACTTGAATGCTCATTGTCGCCATACACATCCTGGGCTCCGTCAAGTGGTCGATCTGGTGGATTTGAGATGAGATTTTCTGGCGTGAGTGCGAAGTCAATTTTCACGCGCGGATAACTAGGCGACGTAGCAGCCGCGTGCGATCGCGATCTGATGCTATTTCGATAATTCCTGAAGAGGATAGTAGAAGGATATGTTACGTTATTTTTTATTTTATAATATTTTCCGGATAGGTGTGAGACATCTAATTATTCTAATTATCTCGAGTTAAATCAAGTTCTTTAATATTTCAATATTAATGCTCCAAGCAATACTATTTGGTTTACACAGAAAGAACAGTTCTGTTGAAGTAATTAAAAATTTACCTAGATATAGATTTGAATACATATAATTTTATTGAATTATTAGAACAATTATTATTCTTTGAGTGCAGGACGCTCAAATTGGTTGCTAGAATACCGAACTTTTTGCAGCATTATCATCATGATTAAGCATCCTACATAATTATTTTTAGATAGTCCAATAAAATTATTTTCATATCTGTATCTAAATAAATTTTTAGATACTTCAGCAAAATCATTCTTTCTACATAGAATATTTGAGCACTGACAGCACTATTTATAATCAAAATCCAGATCAATCACCTTTACCTTATATCCTCGAGATCGAATGTGGCGATGGTCACTTCCACGTCCTCAAGAGCGAATTGCCGTCCGCGATTTAATATGTTGCCGTTGAGCGTGATGCTGGAGCCACCATTGAAGTATAATCTGCCACCGTCGCATCCGCGCAAATTACTGAACATGTAGCAGCCGCCAGCCTTGAAAGTAGCTGACTTAACGAGATCCACGGTGATGTAAGCTTTGCGTAGCTCAAAATATGAACCGCTTCCTTCCGGAAAAAAAGGAATGAAGAAAAAATAGGGAAGCAGTTTTCAAAGTGAACATTTGATCTAATCCTTTAATTTACAAAAAAAATGTAATTTTATCCTTTAATTTACAAAAAATGCAATTTTAATCTTCATTAGAGAAATAAAAAAAGAGTAGAAAACAAAAGAACGGAAAAAGAGAGAAGAGGTTTAGGCCGGCATTTAGTTCTTATATTCTTATATTTACATCTTAATATTTATGTACATAATATTAAGGTGTCATAATTAATCACAAAACTAATTAATTATTTTTAATTTATCATTCACAAACGTCTTAATAATAATAAGTAATAAGAACGGACTATGAATACCGGCTTATTCAGTCAATTGTAATTATCAAATACATTTTGTAACAATGGCATTACCATTCGCGATAATTTCCACGCCATCTAATGACATCGGAATATGATTACTGGCTGGATGCCAAAGTTCCTCACATATTTCGAAACCTACGCAGGTATCCCTCGTCGCGATGATCGCGTCACCAAACGGCACTACGGTCTGACCGGTGAGTTGCGATATCATTCGTGGCAGAAAATAATCCTCGACCGTACGTTCCTAACATAATAAGAAATCATGGATTATTGTGAATCTTGGACATGCACTATGATCGATCACGTTACCCTTATATTTAATTACTTTGGTCCAAGGAGAGAACCATCTGGTTTCTCTGTAGTTGCCGTCCTCGCAAAGCCGCATTTTCGGTCTGATCAGTAAAATCCGCCGATTCAGAAAGGCTATTCTGCAGTTATATGTCACGTTCTTGTGCATCACCGGCATACCCACGTCTATCAATATATCCTCGCAAACACTGGATTTTAGAAGGGTCGCTAAAACTTCCCAGCTATGGAGTAATGTATCTGATTCGTAGAAGTGGTCCTCGCAGCTATAACCGCTGTTAAATAGACATTTTGTGAAGATATAATTGCAACAAAAAAATATAATAAATAATAATAATAATAAAGAGAGAATTATATAATTTCATAAATTATAATTTCACAATTATATGAAGAAAAAAAATTCTAATCTCATTATAAAAGATATATTCTTCCAATAGGCGGTTGATAATTAATTTTTAACGGATAACAAGATCAGTTTTTTCTTCTAATTACCAAATTTCTAGCTCGGGACCGCTCCTGTAAGTGGCACCAGCATCCTTCGCTTCTTGTATACTTTGCAAAATTCTTCTGGTATTCCCATCGAAATCCATCGCCCATTGGTTTAACGTGCACACAGCGACGGTCACTGTACGTCCCATGTTGAATAAATGTTCACTGTTATTCTTAAACGAGATTCTCGAGTGCACTTATCTGGAATAAATAAATATACGTTACTTTCAACTTCAATCAGAGTTAATGTCGCAAGTTTTATAGAATTACAGTTGTGCAAAATTGTTTTCTCAATTAATAGTTTGGTTAAATTTCTTTAATATTTTTTAGAAAGATTATTGAACGCGATAATATCTCGGGGAAGTGATTTAAAAATTATATTCCAATAAAAAAAAATACAAATATTAATATTTATGAAACTCTTTTAAAGATATGTAAATATAAAATAATTAAAAGCCACTGATACTAAATATTATCATGAGAAAAAGAATGAATTGGTAGAACAAAGGGTGCAAAGAACTAGAACGCGAGAAAAGTCAACAGACAGTTCAATCTGAGAATTGCATTGATGCCTCGACACTACTATCGTTTCGTATACAATTGAATTTATGGCACCATCATTATCGTGACTGTTAAAAGTCGGCGGTTGCGTGTACGTCTGATGGAACTTCTGGCGGCAACTTGCCAGCAATTTTATTATCAATTGGAATCCCATTGATCGCTTCCCCGAGATGATAAACTGTTCTGTTCTCCTTTATCCGGCGCGCGTTGATTGATCAATAACTCGGAAAACCCGGCACGGTAGGTACCAACCCTTACGTAGCAACCCTTACAGATCGTTATCTACCACGCACACATTCTTTGCATATTTGTCTTCGAAAAATTACTCTCAGACTTATTAAAATGACAGGATGTAGTGAAAACGTTGAAAAAGTAATCATCTGGATAAAAGAAAGAATAAAAAGGAAAAGAAATCTCAAATAAAAAGAAGATATAAATGTATATGTGATGGAAATTTTACGATCAAATTGCACTTTATTATTCTAGTAAAATAGTATATTCCTAATTAATGATTAATGAAATGGTTTACCAAAGTAGTTTTCAAGTATCCGTTCATTGTTCTTTTGTTGATGAAATTCTTATCGAGAAATATTTTTCATACTAAGAGTTTATATCCTATTTTGCATAAGTCGAATACCAATAACACATTGACGACATAAACAAATTTTGTAATCAGCTAATTTTATACATCTTATATATATATGCCATGATAGAAAGTTAATTGCAACGTACAATGATAAAATATAGCTTAATTGTATAATGTAATATGATTAAATAAGATAATTATTATCTTACGGTATCATGTTAAATAATATGCTTTTATTTCACATTTTTGTCTTATTTATTTGACAAATTTTACATTACATTTATATTTTACGAGCAATTAAAAAAAAATTTTTGATAGCTCAGATCATACAGAAAGCATGATTTTGTTGAAATATTAAAAAATTTAGCTAGACACAGATTTGATAATAATTTTATTAGACCATTAAAATAAATAGAATACTTAAGCGTCGATAATGTAAAAAGTTTTAACAACTATTTTTATTTTACATAATTATATTGTCCAATAAAATGACAGTTCAATAAAATTATTTTCCAATCTGTATTCAGCTAAATTTTTAGATGTTTCAGCAAATCTTCTCCTTTTCATGCAACCACCAAAGCATTGCTGATTAAAAATTAGGCATCGATCACGGACGATTCATGATAGTGAAGTCAACATAGTAAAATTAACCAAAAGTATCACCCACAAAAGGAAACTTGGATCAACAATGCCGCGCTTCTCTTCTCTATTGCTCAGATTAATTCATTCTTGATCGGTTCGCTCGATTGTGTCCATTATCGCGCTTTAAAGGGAACTCGTCGCCGGTTTCTGATCGACGAGCTCACATGAGCGTCGCTTACTTCGAAAACGTCAATAGAATGAGTCGAGTTACCGGCAAGATATTATGTCGATGAGCCGCGCCGGCGGCCTTCTCGAACGAGGAGCGGTTAACAAACGATCGTTCCGAGGGTAGCTCCGCCCACGATTCGCGACGGTTGTCAGGCAATCATCTAAGGAATGTTCCACTGAATGTCTTCAACAACGAGCCAGGTTCCTATCCGCGTTCGCTAGGAATCTACCTCCAAGTTTCGCGGAGCTCCTAGTACAACTTGCACCCTCTCGTCGGCACTCACCTCGGTGAACCTCTACTCGTTCTCGACACTCCTGAGATTTATTCGATTATTTATATTTGTACGATTCTTCGATCGATTGAGGTGACAATTGAGGTATTGAGAAAAAAGAAATACCGCGACATTTTATTCTTAAAGCTAATTATTCTGAAGTAATCGGATTTTACATAAGATCTGTTCTCTAACAAATTTCAAACTGCAATCATTGCCATTTTTAAAACCGTATTTTATAATTTGTTTATTATAAAGCTTTAATACAGTAAATATATATACATTTCTCTCGGAAAAATGGGCACGCCCTTTTTGCACTGACAAGAGCGTTAAACAAATAAAGCTCAACGTATTGCATAGATTCGCATTTGCTGTTTTGATAATAACATTTCAAGTTATTCTAATAAGCTACAATTGTGAGAGAAAAGTATAATCTGAGATTATTTAAAGTGTCGGAGATATAAAATCATCTGACGTGCCCTCGCGAAAAGTGGTGCGGATTCTTGACATGTGGATCACGAAAACGTGAACGTGGGAATGAAAAATCCGATTGTCAAGTATCTCCTCGGCGAGGAAGTGCCGACGAGGGAGGAATACACGGACTGGCACGAGAATGCTAAGGGTAGTAGATCATCGCCGATGCTCGCCGTCGATGCTGACGATCGCGACGAGCAGGACGAGAACGAGATCGATGAGAGATAACGAAAGATGAAGCTATCGAGCAGCGGAGTGAAAGAACTCCAGGCCGTACTGTTTCCGGTTCAACCCATTCCAGGTGAACTCCTCTAACGAGGATAATTGGTGGATGATATAGAATCAACAGCAAACTCGAACCGCTATTTATTCGAAACAAATTAATTCTCTATAATACACTGAAGATATATGTTATACATTACAGTCGCTTTCTATATACTTCTATATACTTCTATGCCAACTACATATTTTTTTACATACAGAATTATAAATATCTTTATTATTATTACTAATATTACAATAATAACTGTAATAAAAATTGAGCTCCTGATTGTAATTATTTTATGCAATTATAGCAACAAACACTTTTCTTGTAAGTGAATTGTAATAAACAAATGACTTTATGTTGAATAATAATTTGTGTGTTTTATATGTATATACATGGGAAGAAATTTTGCTAAGATGTCTAAAAATTTAGCAAGATACAAATCTGAAAATAATTTTCTTGAATCATTAAGATAATAATATAGGACGCTCATTATGAGCAACGCTGAAAAAAGTGTTGATGTTCTAGTAACTTGAACGTCTTAAATAATTACTTTGATAATCTATCAAAATTATTTTTAGATCTGTGTCTAACTAAATTTTTTAATAGTTTAATCGTTCTTTCCGTGATACATTTCGCCTTTACGCTCTTGAATTATGTAGTAGTTCCTGCATTTGAAATGCAGTTTTTATGTCGAAGAAATGCAATATCATCAAATCGATTTTGAAATAGTGGAGAGAATATGATACGTTCATAACAACATATGATCGAAGTGGCGGCGAGGTCGCGAACCTACGGACATTGTACCCGATCATCGATCCTCTACTGTATGCGATATAAGATCGTGTCTAATTCTCTCGAAACCTAACGTCAATTCACCGAACTTCTCATTATCACGCGCATTATCACGCGAATAATTTAATCCGTAGTTCGGTATAATCGTTCCCTATTTTTGTTCGTTTACAAGAAAAACTGTCCTGTCTTTCTCATTAATATTTTATGCATATAATCAAGATAATCAAGAAGCTACTTAGGATGTTCCAAATGGAAAACCACGAATTTTCTCGCAACTATATCGTTTCGATTAATTTAACGAACAAAAATCAGATCATGAACTTATTTTTTTCATTAATGAATAAATGAAGTGAAATAAAAAATAAATTATATTTCCAAAATTACAAATATATAACTTTATTTTAAAAATAATTGTAAGAATAGATTTTTTTTTTTTTAATGACGTAGGTGGCATCCTCTCTGATCTAACGCCGCAAGATTTACAAGTGTCTCAATTGGAACGTTACGAGAGTTCAGCTCTAAGACGAGACGCGGAATCGGCACTGTTCGCGATACCTTTGGGTCTATCCAGATATCGGTACTCGAAGGAGGCCCTTCGAGCAGTACTCGATGCACGTTGCATCGTCGACGGAAGCATCCAGGAAGCGGCCAGGTGGCCGACCGAGTGCCAGGTGAAAAATGATGCACCTGCACCGTTTTTCATTTCACTTTTTCCGTAGTTTTATTTCGATGAACAGCCTTTCTCTGAAGACAAAATACTGCGTATTGCTAATTCACCGTATATAATGTTAATTGCTCTTACACGAATTACAATTTTGATAAGAAATTGGAGTTTTTTACGGAGATATGCGATGTCATTAATTTATTTCACACTCCGTTATTATGTTAAGCTAATTGATACAGTAATTATATAATTATATAAAATTAATCGAGATAATGACTCAGGTGATCCCAGAAAGAGTTCGTCACATAGAGTACAATCCTGCCACACCGGAAGCCTTCTACGTGTCAACCGGAAAGGAACCGAGACCCAAACCAATCGGTGACGAGCTTGGAACGGTGATATTTCGTTACTGCCCAACTAACGTTACTAATTACGTAAGTCGCGATATAAGCTATATTTTTTCTGATATTTATTACCAGAACCGCCGATGGCGCCATTTTGAGTCCGCTAATCATTTCAATTTTTTTTCTTGATATTAAATATGTTGTCCAAAATATTAAAAACGTGAATAAAATATATATAATCAAAAATAGAAATAATTTTGATATAAATAACATCAAAATAACTAACCGAAAACAAGAAAGAAGAACAGAAAATTAACGAATTGGCAATCTTTGACAATTCTTGCGGATATCATCGGTGGCGGTGGTTCTAGTGATAAAGCGATAATCAATTCGAGTTTGTTCGAGGGCGTTAAAACACGAAGCCGACTGAGAAACATTTTCTGTTTGAGAATTTAGAAGATGGGGGCTTATTATTTCTGCAGTTTAGCCGATCTTGCGTAGGCGGTAGCACAGTGTTACCGTTCCACACGGATTTCCCCGGGGAATCAACCGCGTGTGCCAATGAGAACGATATCTTCTTCGTTGCCGAAACGTCCCGACCGAAAGATGACAATACGGACTTACAGTTTGAATCGCGATTTGAGTCCGGAAACCTCGGCAAAGTAGTAAAAATAACCGACACATATTACCAGCTCTATCTAAGAAGAGATCTCTACACTCAGAGGCATACACAGTGGTACTACTTTAGGGTATCAAATACAAGAAGCAGAATCACATACAGGTATAAAAAAAAGACAGGGAAAGCAATCAACTATGCATTTTCCAAGAAATTAAAAAATTAATTTAAATAAAAAATTTAACTTATCAATTAAATTTAAAAATACAACAAAATGTTAGAATACATAATTATAATATAAGAAACTATTTTTATTAGCTTTTTTTGATTCAGAGATTTTTTAAGTTAAATTTAAATTAAAACTTAAAATCAAGATTGTGTATTTTAACATCTCATTTGTAATCAAGATTACGTTTTATCAATTGTTTATCTATTTTCTTAATCTAAACCATAGAAATCAATCTGAAAATATTGTTAAAATTGCAGATTCTCAATCGTAAATATGTGCAAAGAAGAGAGCCTTTATAACGAAGGCCTCAAGCCTCTTTTATACTCCACTGAAGACGCTCGAACTCGAGCCATAGGATGGAGAAGATGCGGCGACAACATCACGTATTACCGAAATAACGACTCATCGTAAGAAAATTATAATGTCATATAACAAAATAAATATAAAAAAATAACACGAAATGATTGCAGAAGCGATGACGAGAAGGAAAAACACACGTTGACGTTTAACATCTCATTTCCTCATGATCGTGACATCGTTTACTTGGCGCACTGCTATCCATATACCTACACCGATCTACAGGTAAAACAATCGAATAGAACGATTTTGATGAAGAATTAAAAAATTTAACTAGATACAGAATAATTAGATCCGAAAATAATTTGTTGAGTCATCAAAATACAACAATTATTTAGAAAATTCAAACGTGATACTGCAAAAAGTTTTGATATTTTTGTGATCAGTTTGAACATAATTATTTTAAAATTCTAAAATTTAGTTAGATATATAAATCTGAAAATAATTTTGTTAGACTATCAAAATAATTATGTAGGATGTTCAAACTGATTATAAAAGTATTAAAATTTTTTGCAGCATTGCTTATCACGTTTGAATTTCCTACATAATTGTTGTATTTTGATAACTCAACAAATTATTTTCAGATTTGTATCTAACTAAATTTTAGATATTTTAATCATGTTATGCGATATTAAAAAAAATCACTGTTCACTCGTAATCCTACAAAAATATAATAGTTGAAGCAACTGCACTAACTTAACTGAATTAAGTAATTGTGAAAGTAACGCTGGTATCTCACTTTATTTCCGTTAATTCTTGTTTTCCTGTTGCTGAAGGAAAGCGGCATGACTGAATTAGAAATGCTTTCAGTAATTACTACGCGGAATGTTCCCACAAACGCTCGCGGGAAGTGGTATTTACTTGTACTTCACGTTCTGTTCCCTCCCATCGCGATTATCATCGCGAACGATTCCCAGTCTCGGCGATTGTATTTATTGCGTTCCGCCGGTATATTAAATCTCGAGATCTATCTCCTCGGAATCTACCTCTTTAATTGCCCGTATAAACCTGTCCCAGGAATATCTCGGTAAGATCGTGGCTGACCCCACAAAGACAAGGTTCGCGAAACTGCGCCTGCTGTGCCGCAGTCTGGCCGGAAATGGCGTGTATTATTTGACGATCACCGCACCAACCCACGATGAAGACGTGCGTAGGAAGCGGGGCGTCGTTATCACGGCTCGGGTGCATCCTGGTGAGACACCGTCGAGCTGGACGATGAAGGGTATCATCGACTTCCTCACCGGCGACACAAATCGGGCTAGAGTAAGACGCAATTTCGCAGATTTAGACGAGAAGAATGGTCTTGCTGAAAAATCTAGAAATTTAATTATATAGATATAGATTTGAAAATAATTTGGGATCATCAGAATTACGTAGAACGTTTCTAAATGTTACTGACAAAAGTTGCAAAAGTTTGCTGCAAAAAGTTTTAACATTCTGGCAACTAGTTTGAGTGTTCTACATAGGTAATTATTTTAATGATAAAAATAAAATTATTTTCAAATCTGTATCTAATTAAAATTTTGCACTCTTCAGTAAGATCGTTCTTTCTATGTATCGCTTCAGATTCAAAATAAAGGTATCGATAATGCGATTTAAATAGATCATTAAAATATCATTATTGAAATTTGCTTGATGTGATTGAGAAAATTCAGCTGTGATGCTTAATGATTGACCTAACATCGCGTGATTATTGCAGGAGCTTAGAGAGAGATTCGTCTTCAAGTTGGTGCCGATGCTGAACCCAGACGGTGTCATAGTGGGTAACAATCGGTGCTCCTTGTCCGGGAAGGATCTAAATCGACAGTACAGGACAGTGATGAGAGAAAGTTACCCGTCTGTCTGGCATACGAAGCTAATGATCCGGAGGCTCCTCGAGGAATGCGGAGTGGCGATATACTGCGATCTTCACGCTCACTCGAGGAAACACAATATATTTGCCTATGGTTGCGAAAGCAAGAGGACAGGATGCAACGGAAAGCTGTCGGAACAGGTGTTTCCGCTGATGCTTCATAAAAACGCAGCTGATAAGGTAATGTAAATGCACACATATGGGGGGGGGGGGTGATGGGGAGAGAAGGGGTACCACCGGAAATCGCACAATTAAATTCTTTATAATTTTAATTCTTTGATCAAGTTAAGTGAAATTGATAGCTTTTGAAAATTTAGGGAATTTTTCGAATCACAGCGATTTTTTAAGACTCCTGTTCATCATACATGACATCAGAGCCAAGAAAAATAAAAAATTTGTGCCAACATTTTTTAATAAAACAATATTTGCAATAGATAGAATGTAAAAAAAATATGTAAAATATCGAAAATTCCCTTTGTGTTCCGATAATCAATAAATAATTATATCTTTGAAATATATTGAATTATGCCTAATCAAAAAATAAAACGAACTGAATATATTGACAGATTTATAATAATTTTATTCTGTTCTGAAATAAAGGAGATTTTTCGGTATATTTTACAAGTCTCTATCAAATGCAAATTTTAATATATTTTCTAGAAGTTTTATTATGTCTTTTCTTGCTATTAGTCTGAAGATCCGTGGTAAATAGACAGGAGTCTTGATTGTCTAATTGTTGCGACACTAGCAATTTCGTTTTATGATTTCAGTTCTCCTTCGAGAATTGCAAATTCCACGTCGAGAAGGTGAAAGAAGGTACCGGTAGAGTGGTTGTATGGTCGATGGGCGTACAAAACAGTTATACCATGGAGGCTTCTATGGGCGGTTCTAAAATCGGCTCAAGATGCGGAACGCATTTTTCCATTCAAGATTACGAACAGATCGGCAAGGCATTCTGCGAGACCCTACTTGACTTTTCCGATCAAGATCCCATGAAGGTAACATTGATCCGATCGATATTTCGATCACATTTTCTGCATTTGTTTGGAAAAAGAAATGATGACAATCAAATAACAACTTGTCGCTTAATTTATCTTTGTATAAACAACAATTAAACGTAAAATAAAATTAAAAAATCAAATCAACATCTATTCGATGTTTATCCATGCACTTTCTCGGATGGGCTTATATCTCTTTCTTCTTCTCTCTTCTCTCTCCTCATGTAAGTAATATCAAATTAATTCAATAAATAAAGCTTATCATTCTGCTATGAATTTAGAATTTAGAACTTGAAAATTATATCATTTAAAAATTTCTAATTTATGTAATTCTAATGAATCAGGATGAACGATGGATCTCTCGCAAACTTGACTCGACAGGAAAGACTCCGAAATAAAATTATAGCCAGATTAGCGAAGGAGGGATCCAATGCTGAAGAACCTATCAATATCGATTTGACCGATTATTCAAGGTATATCCTTCCTTCCTGATAATTCATATTTTATTTATCCTATATTATCTTAAGTAATTTATACAATTAAAAAAATTTTTCTAGCGACGAAGGAGATATCTCACAGGAGAGGGTAGGACCGAATACACGGATGCTGCGTGGTCCAGCGAGGGCGGAGAGTTCTTGGCGAGTCGCCGTCGGTATCTTTGTGTGCCACCACCGTCGCCGACTTTCGTCCCACCGAGAAGCGTCGGTCTTTACAGAAGAAGAGCACGAAGGGACATCGCGGGAAGAATTTATTTGGAGCGCAGGAAAAATGTGGTAATATTGGGTCATCTAAAAAGTATTCGCGGTTTTTTGTCACTAGATGTGTGTTGATGGTCATATATCTAGTGACAAAGTACCGCGGATACTTTAGATGACCCAATATATCGCTCATTTGCTATAACAACAACATAATTTAAAAAATGAGTTTTCCAAAAAAATAAGTTTGAATGTTTTAAATCATTAAAATTTTGCATAATATTAATTTAAAAATATAACTTTAATGTCGTAACTGATTGTAGAGAAATAAAAAATTACATTCTTTTAAAATTTGTTTTTTCTTTATATTTCTTTTTTTTTGCAACTAAAAAGTAACGTTAAATTGTACGTAAAAATCGTCGTTATATTATCAATAGGCACGACGAGCGGTGATGGATTTGCCGACCACAGATCCAGGTAGTGATCTGTGTGATCTGACCGATTCGGCTGATGAAAGTTTTGTTAGAAGCGAGGGAAGAGAATATGATGGTACGTTTATAACGAAATCGAAATAAATAATTATATCGATTTATGTTATATGTCGTGCATGCGTGTCTTATAGATGTATGGAGAAGTACGCAAGAACATCGAGAAGAGATAATCGGACTCTCCGAGCGGGAGACAACTGAGAAAGAGGAGCGACAGGAGAAGACGTTGATCTTACCGGAAATTATGAGACCTCGCAGCGTATCTTTTGGAGAGTTACTACCACGGAAAGATTACCGGAAGACTCGGCAACACCCGCGATGTCTTCGGTACAGATTGTCTCTTTACTAAAAATATAGGAAGAATTCATCGACAGCTGCCCACACATTTATTCATAAAAATAATTATTGAATGCTTAAGCTTTGATGACAATGTTGCAAAACATTTTAACATTCTAACAATCAATTTGAGTATTCTACATAATTATTTTGATAGTCCAACAAAATTTACAAATTATTTACAGATCTGTATCTAGTTAAATTTTTAGATAAATTAGCAAAATTTATTTTTCATATAGATGTACAGATAATATTCGGAAGATTGTTAAAATTTTTTTTATTTTTAAAATTCCTTTGCAGAGCAATGTTTATTTTATTTTGTAGATTTATTACAAATAGCTATTTAGTTTCACACACCAGTTTTTCGATTGTTATTTCGTGATCATCACAATTAATTAGAGTGACAATGTTCATCATAAAGAATACGTTTCTTCATAAAATCATGAATTGTGTTTGCCAGAATGCTGAGAAATCCGTCGCCGGTATCGCCGACTAGCCAAGAGGTGAGAATCAAGCTCACATCATTGAGACGGCAGATCTGGACTGGTGTGTCGACCAGCACCGCCGCCGACGAGAACAACGAAGCGGAACGTCTCACATTTATTAAGACGCCGTTGAGCTGGGGTATTTCCAGACATGCTCTGATGCACTATCCCACGGACGGCGAGGTCACGTTAAAGTGAGTCGGTACTACTCGACTTATTGCGTCGATACAGCATCTATAGAATATGCTCTTTGCATATTAAGTTGTAATTATATGCGAAAATTTTTTTGTTTATTACATCGCGTGCGATTTCGCAATTGTTTGCATTTTCAATGTGTTTCGGAATTCCCCGTAAAGAGGCACTGAAAAATGTTCTTTCTAAGTTAAACCAACAGAAAGACCCAACGTAGAACGGCATTTTAATAAAGTTAAACAGAATTATCATACTAGAAAGTCTGTTTAGCTTCACCAAAATGCTATTCTGGTTGAACCTTTTTATCGGTTTAATCAGAATACATTTTTCTATGTGTACGCATAATAAATTTACGCTTTTGGCGCATCGCCTTTTCAGGCCGCAGTCCAAGAAGACTCAGTCGCTCGTCTACGACAAGGACGACGCGAGGAAGACACGGAAGAAATTACGGCGAAATGCGTCCCAATTGAAATCCGCGCGAACAGACGGGCAGAAATCGTCCAAGAGGAAGAATGCGAAGCTTGACTGGCAACGGGCGGTGAACCTAAACTCCCGGGGCAAGGATGCGAGAATTACAAGAACCTCCTCTTTCTTGACGATTGAAGCGGATTCGTTGAAGCTGCTGGCCACGTCGACGGTGTCCAAACAGCCACAGCGACCGCAACGGAAACTCGAGTCGCGCCGAAAGTTCCGCGGTGTCGGTGCGGTGACCTCCACCTGCGTCGGCGTCGGGGCGAAGACGAGCGTCGCGAAGACAACGAGAACACGAGCGTGCCGTCGCGACGCCTTCTGCGAGAGCACGACGTCAGACGATGCCTCGTCAGATTCGGGCAAGCCAAAAGTAGTGAAGAAAAAGCAGAAGAAGAAAAAGCAACAACAACAACCGCCTCCGAGGAAAACAAACAGAGGAACCGAACAAAGCAAGCGGGTCTGCAGCGCGAAGACCTCGCGTAACAACGTTTGAGAATTATTTTTTCGAACAAGCTGTGAGATGTGTTGTTAGTCCTCCTTATTATTTGAGATTTTGAATAATTTAAAGAAAACCTCTCCTTGATTATTATTATTATCATTTACTATTTAATATTATTAATCCTATTCGATATTCGCTTCGAAATTTAATTCCTTAATTGATTATATTCGGGGATCCAGTCTACTTTAAATTAATGTATTTTTGCTTAAAAGTAACGTAATTGAATAATTTTTTTCATTTTAAGGATTAGAATTCGAGGGATAAGGTTATGTAACTTAAAATTATGTATGGTTGTAAAAAAAACATTTGTTATAAACAATTTTTTACAACGTAGTTAAAGAAAATCTTTCAGGATTCGCGAATACTGATTAAACAGTATAATAACATAATTATACACTATTAATATAAAAGTTTAATATCTGATATTGATTAAGAAACATAGACGTATGAATATAGGATTGTAAATATATTGTAATTATAATTTCACAACTCGCTTCTGTCAATATGAATTAATTGAATTAATATCTATTTCTTCCAATGTAGAGTAATTTTATCTCGGTTTATATACTTTTTTATCTTTTCTTCTAATTCTTAGAATTAGAAAGAAATAAAAAGTAAATTAAACTAATTGTAAGATTAAAGTTAATTTACATTGGTAGAAATGGACACAAAGGCAATTTCGTCCAACAATTTTAATTAACTTAATTATTTTGCCGTTAAAATCGGGAAAATTTCTAACTATATAATTCGCTATCCTTAATCTTAGCTTTTTTCCACATGTCGAAAAACAAAATTAAAAATACTATTTTAAAAATAGTATATTATCTTATATAATTATCGATTAAGTTACTTTGAAATTATATTTCAAAATTAAGTAAATCGTTAAGCGCAGGACGACATTAATTAAGATAATTAAATAATTAATTACTCCAAACATGCTGACGTTATACATCGTCATGTTGATGTCAAAATGACATCTAAAATAACATAAAAATGATGACAAATAACGTCAACTAATTTGCTGGGAAGTAATTACTTAATTGGCATTTAATTGGCAATTAATTCAATTGGCGGTAATTTTAAATTGTGCATCACTGCCCGTAGCTCAAGAAGAATATTGCGCGATCAATCTCAACTGAGTTGATCTCCGAACTCTCCGAACTCTCCGTATTTTCGTTTTGCGCCCGCGAAATCGATTGGCATGCGCTAGGAGTGTCGCAGTCGCACGGATTCCACGTGCTCACGGATTGACAGCGTGACGTCGCCATGGCGACACGCAAGCGCGTGGTAAACAATTTACGGCCACCGCGCGGCGCGGATCAAAACGATCACGTGGTTCACATGACGAACCGTCGCGAAACCATAGGATAGGTTGGTCATCATCTCGAGATCGGTGTCGCGTAACCCCTCTTCATCCAAAACGTCACAAGAGTCAATAAGAGTCGACTTCTTCGCCGAACGTAATGCAAGTCACTCTAGGTGAAACGATCAGTCGCGAAATCGAGGTCGGAAGTATAGGAATGAACGAAAATTGACAATTATGTATTACCTATGATGATCCGGATATTCCGTCAGAAAACTGACAGGACGTGACGCATGCTCCTTTTTTCCTTTCTATTTCTGCTCTGTGATTCACGAACACGAACGTCACGAACACGTGCGAAAAATCGACTGGAGAAAATCACAACACTACTTCAATCTTTACGTCTTCGCAACGCTTGCTGCTTTGCGTGACAGATGACTAATACGAGTTCAGAGCTCAATGAAGGGTTCTCGTGCTGCCATCTTGCAGCAACAATTTGTTTTTACGCTGTTGGCGGGAGATTCGATTTTTTTTTACCGTAACTGAAATATCGGGAGATCGATGTGTATCTTGAAATGAGATGAAAATTATAAAAATAAACAAATTCACCAGGTGTTGATTAGATAATGTGAAATTATAAATATTTTGGTATTCATTCACTTTTGTAATTTTCACTTTGTTTTAAGATATACAATCAATTTTTTTTTCCTCGTATATATTATATAACCGAAATTCGTAGTCTGTTCTTATTTCAAGATCGTTTTAAGTAATATTTTAAAATACTAATACTGTTTTCTGATTGGTTCATGATATCTTGAAACTGTATTTATATAAGACAATGAAGTAAAATCTTAAATTCATTAAGTCTTAAAACATGAAATTTTAAATATAAGGACTGATTATGAATACCGACTTATGTATTCATAGTAAACACCAACTAAAAAGTAATGTCAATGTTATAATTTCACACTTACAACCTAGTGAGAAATATCAATCGACATTTAATGAGTTACATATTTCTTGCTGAAAATATATACTAGAATAAATATATTTAATTTAATTTAATTTAATTTAATTTAATTTAATTTATAATATAATAATATAAATGTACACGTGTGTTATGTAACAATTATATTACTGAGTATAAAATTTTATAACTTATTGATTATATTACTTTTACAGTTACTTTTACAGTTACTTTTACAGTTGGTATATTGATTAAATATACAGATGGTATATTTATTATCAGATATTTATTATTACGTAAGTTTCTACGAATATTAGAAAAGCTGTATAGATATTCATATGTTATTGATTTGATCGATACAGATAGCTGAACAATTAGCATATTTTACGTATTAAATTCATAATTTATTATCGTTTCATAAATCAGAACATATTTAGCTAGAATATTAAGTCGACGTCATACGATGTATATTTTCTTGCTTAATATATTGCTTACATTTTAATAAATTACTAGAAAATAGAATTCTGGTATAATGCAATTCTAATAATTTATGCTAGCAATCCAGCAAGAAAATCGTGTGTCATTGACTACACATATTGCATTTTTTCCTATATCATATAATTATTATCATAAATAATTGAACACAATTGACAGCAATAAATGTAGATTTAAATAAAAATTGAAAAAATGTGGATATATGGAACGTAAGGATAATAAGTCGTAAAATTAATATTAAATATTAATGACCTGACTGATGATTTGCGCAGTCACTTCCATAAGACCGTTGTTTTTTATAATAACGATACCTTATTGTTGGAGACAAAAAAATGAGCTATTACTTTTTTTATTATTTGGATGGATGTTTTTTCGAAAATTAGAAAATTATATAATTAATAAAGGAAAGGCCCCTATTATGAGATACCGAGTTCATTTTGGATAAATGCTATTAGTCTATGGGCAGAATTTTAAAAAATAATGGCTCATTCTGAAAAGAATTTAATAAACTTTAAGATGTTATATAAAATTTAATTCAAATTCCATTTTTTTTTTAAATTAAAGAAATGTAAAAAGTGAGCAAATCGCGAAGTCAAAAAATTGTGCTCCTAATATGAGATGTCCCGAGAAATTGATAGTAAAACACAAAGTATATCAGTATTGCAACTAAAAAATTTTATTTAATGTTTTTTAAATACAAACAAACAGCCAGCGTGCACAAAAAATGAGTATGCGTATTATCCAGAATTTGTCTTCAGGTAGTTGAAATAAAGCATCGCAGAAATAGGCACTCGACGTTTATTCCGGTTGTCCTTTTTATTATTGTACAATAATATTTATACTTTAGCAGCGATTTTCACTATGACATGGGAGCATGAGTTATTTCATATTATAATAGAAATATCCTAGGTATCTCATATTACGATTTTTATTTTACAGTTTTACGATCATCAAATCTAACTTCTGTAATTAAGCAATTCAACATATCCCATATTTTTCTATTAATATAACCTTATTCTATCACTACATGAAGAATTTATTGCCAAATATTTATTTTTATTAAATAATAAACAAGATTTAAAGGCTCATCTCAATGGAACTTGAAGACATCTAAATTCTTTTTTACAGGCATGATCTAATAATGAATTTTCTACTAAATAGTTTTCAATCCAAGAGCAATAAATTCATGATGGAACTAATAGATAACGTTTATTAGTTTAGCAGAAACGCCACTATCTCATATTAGATGCCTATCTCATAATAGGGGACTTTCCTGTACATAGAAATAAATTCCAATATGCATATATCTATCTATCTTATAACGGAAAGTACATTTTAAATTCATTTTAAATTTTCTATAATTTGTGTTGGAATTCAGATAAACTCTGTTTATAGTTTTATGTAAAATATATTAAGATCCAATAATCTCGATCCTCTGCATTTTGCTGTCTTATGAAAAGAACCGGTAGTCGTTGCGCTTATCTTAGTGCTGAGATACTCCCGTGTTTGTAATAGGTGTGACCTGATATTGAAATGCATCCATTAATACATAAAGAACTATCAAGGAAATTTTCCAATACTTCTAGCGTTATTTAAAACTTTTCCAGTGCTACAGTTATCTGAAAATTTTCCAATATTTCTAATCTTATACGGAAGTTCTTCATAAGCTTCGACAGAAATCAATTTTTCATTATTAGATCTTTAAGTCATGTTGATAATTTTAAATATAATAATCTTATAAAAAATTTCAAACGTAATGGGCTAAATTATAAAATGATATATTTTTATTTGGAGATTATGTGTTGAAAATACTGAGAGAAAAAGATTATAAATTAAGATATAATAATTTGATAATTATAAACAAATAAAATTGTGTACAATTAATATACAATTCGCTGGATAATTTTTCAATGAATAATGTGTATTTACATTACACAGACTATAATAATGATAAAATAAAATGAAGTGTTTATCAAATTAATAGCGTTTTTCATTGGTGTGAACTAGTGTGTACTCAGCGCACTTTAAAGCCATTGTACACAAATCGACGTAAAGATATATGTTTAATAAAAATATAGAATGTTTAATAAAAATATAGAAGTGAATTAAATTGAAAATTCTCAGTATATTTTATCGTCCTATTTGATGAAATATACATTGGGCATTTTATTATTGAAATATCTTACTTTTATATTCAGATTAGAGTAATGTATAACAATTTTAATGTGCGCATCAATTCTGTCGATAAAAAACGCTATAAAATCCCAATAAACGAGAATGGATTGAAATGGATTTAGATTTTCAGAAACATGTATTTGCGAACGAATGTTAAAATAAATTCTTTTCAATTTGAATACATTTTTTCATTTATTGATGTAGTACATTTCATGATGTTTAATTCAAGACTCTGAATAATTAAAAATTGTTTTTCGATCTAATTGAATCCAGTTTAAGGAAAAGTTTTTTTTATTTAATTGAATTCAATGGACTTAAAATATAAATAAATTTTGATTCATTTTAATTTATTCGTATAAGCGCACAATTTTATTTACAATTTTTGATAAGTGTATTAATAGGAAAATTCATAAAGAAAAGATAAATAAATTCTGTAGATAAGTAAATTCTAATTTAATAAAGTATTGTTACAAAAAAAAATTATATGAAATAAAATTCTGCAATTGGTGAATCGCGAATAATGTTATAAAAAATACGTTATAAAAAAAATCATGTGTACTTTGTACAAAATTTTTACGCTATATAATGTATGCAAGACAACTGACAAAAAAGTTGAAATTGATATTCTTGCGTGAGGTCACCGAGTCGTAACCTGGACATCCTCAGGACTGAAAATTTGAATAAATCAAATAAAGAGCGTCAATACGATTAAAGTTAGATATTGAATTTTAATATATATGTATATATATATATATATTTCAAATTGATTGTATTGGAAGAACGGAAGTCGTCAACTCGCAGTATTCTATACTATTATTTCAGGAATTATTTTACACTTTTACGTAATGAATCGGATAAATGTCTCAGTTTGCCGCATATACAAACTATAAAAATTTTGACGCAAAAATATAAATTATAGGTTTTTAAATATGCATTTTGTTGAAATAAATAGGTCTATTTTTTGGCTGAATAATACATTTTTGGAATTTAAAAGGACAAAGATATATGTTAGTGATATTTGGCAAAAACAAGAAGAGAATTGTAGTACAGTTTAGTGCAGAATAAGTAAATCTTAAATAATATAATAATATTTTTAATATAATAACATTTTTTTATTATTATTTACTTTACATATTATTTATATTATTATTTATAGTATATATTATAAATATTTAAGAATTAGAAGTTAATGCTGCGCTTACAAATATAAAAAGCAAGATGGAGAAAAGGTTTTTCGAAAATGGATATTAGAATTGAAGAACTAATATAACACAGTATGCACAACTTAATAATCCATAAAATATATTTCAATTTACATTACTTAATTGTTCAAACATTTCGGCTTAACTTTGCGGACATCTTCAGTGAACATGCATATGGAAGAGCATGACATAATTTTAAATCTCATTGAAATGATATGCATGTCTAAAAATGTCTTTATGACGTTCATGTAATGTTCTTTTTTCAAATTTTTATGTTGTCTTACAAGTAAATGCAAAAATTGTGAAATAAAAATTGAAATAATTAAAGGAGACGAATTGAAATGATTAATTGAATAGACTAAAAAGAATATATTATTACCATTTTGTTTTATTGAAATAATTTAACATATATTATTCATGTGAGTGTCAATTATATTATACTTTGAAATTTATTAACCATAGAGACTAATCATGCTATAATGTAGAAGTTCATCGGCTATACAAAATGCGAGCACGCTTTATTTTTAAATTGAAAAAACTGAATAAGAAAAAAAGAGAGAATATGAATGTTATCAATAATATTATTAATAATATTATACACATTAAATATATTATATAAATATTTATAATTTACTATCAAAAGTTCAATTATCATTTGAAAGCCATATGCAAAGTATCTAAGCTACATATATTGAATATAAAATTAATATCAATATATTTCTCAAAATTACGTAAAGAATACATATCTTGTGAAAATGTCTACTACAATATCTACATTGAGAAAAATAATGTTTTAACAACATTATTTTAATTGAAAATAATTTTGTTGATTTAACAAAAGTATTAATGAAACAAATAAAATTTTATTAAAACGAAAGCATGACGTATTTGTTTCATTAATGATGTATTGTGCGCGCGCGCGCGCGCGCGTGTGTGTGTGTGTGTGTGTGTACGCGCGCGTGCGCGCGTGTGTATGAATTAAAAATTATTTTAAATTAAATTAATAACGGAAATAATTTCCTTATATATATATATATATAACTCTACAAATAAAATCTTGAGAAATCGGATAAATGAGAGTGTAACGTAGTTGTTGGAGCGTGATTAAATATAAATGTTAATGTAATCAATGCAGAAAATTGATTGTACGTATTTCATTAAAATCGCTTCTCGCGTTTGTAATGAAATACATGTAATCAATTTTCTGTATTGATTAACATTTATATTTAATCACGCTCCAACTGTGTTACACTCTCATTTGTCATTTGAATAAGCATAAAAAAATTTGTTAAATTGCTAGTCAATTTAACTCGTGATATTACTGCAGTAGTTTAGTAAAGTTAGCGTTTTCAAGATCAAAAAATCATTTCGGTGCGCATTTCTGGGGACTACATACGTAGCATATAAATTCACACAAGAATCATACAAGCATTTAAGATCTAGCTAGATCGTTTAAGGTTTTGATTTCTATAGTTTGTATTAAAATAATATTGTTGATAAAACATCATTTTTTTCAGTGTATCTATTATGCAGGGTTTATAATAATTTATTATAAAAATATGCATAGAAATCCGATGCCTAATAGATGTATAAGAGTCATAGACGATGATGGAGTCTTAAGTGAAAAACCTGACCTTTCATAATTGACTATTCTCCTTATATTTCACTATAATTGATCAATTTCCTACGACTTAAAATCCCATCGATCATCTACGATTTCTATATATCCCACATTAAACTGAAATACAGCTGTTACGATAACGTAAAAAACACTAATGGCCAATGCAATGCGTCTCCTTATAATGTCTAAGCAGAGTATGAAGAAATAATTTCGATAGCTCTATAAAGCTAACAGAACTAAATCAGCAGAAATTGGACCTATCGGAATTTTTAGTATCCACTTTGTATGTATCATATTACATTACACCATTAATAATAATTTTATATCGTGTGCCATTTAAAAAATCATATCATAGTACAAATTTAATTCTATTGATTTCTGATATATTTTTCTCTTTTTTTTTCTTTTATTTTAAATTAGTCCAGTTTAATATTAAGCTAGCATCGCCATGATTTTTTTTGAAATGGCACATAGTACAAAATTATCATTAATAGTACAATTTAGTACAAAATGAGTATTAACAATTCCGATATCCGATTTGATTCTGATACTGATTTAGACTTGTTAGCTTTATAGAGCTAATTTCGATGGCCATCCTTAAAATACAATGCAAACTATACAAGATATTGTAGTATTTCACAACCATCTTCTCATCTATTTCGTATCCGCTTCCTTTTCTTTATAATAATTGTCTTTTAAAATGAGTAACTCTTTAAAAAATCGCAATCGGAAACAATGAAAAATTTAAATAGGCATAGTTATTGAGGATAGAAATGTAATTTACTTTCCGCTTTTAATCAATAATAAAACGATGAAGCGATGACTTTTAAGTCATTTTTTCATGTAAATTGTTGTAGCTACTTAACATTTTATGCTTTGCGTCAGAAGTTTATGCTTCATAATAAAATCTAATTATGTATAAGCGTAATTTAATTCAGTATGTAAAATGATTCGATGAAACAAGGCAAAAGGGATGAATGATTTATTTTCAGACGTCGATGGTTTATTAGCATCGCAATACTCGGTGACGATGGTGGTGGTCGAACGCACTGCTTATAAACGATTGCGAATAGACTGCGAATCAGTTTGATGTTAGTTCAGCGAAGAGACTCGATCGTATATTCGTGAACAGCATATATAAGGTGGGTGTTACAAGAAAAGATGAAGAGAATTAAACCGAAAAAGAAAACAATCTAGCTCTCGAAATGACCGATCATTGGATTAAGCAGACGTCTAATAAAATATTTTGCTTGATTCTTTTCGTGCCAGTGATAACATAGTGGGACTGGATGTATCAATTTTTTCAGTCCACAAGGGACTTAGAGTCCTAGTGTCTTAACATAGTAACCTTGTCTAATGACATGTATTATTTATCGCAATTATAAAAAAAAATAATGTATTTAATTTTGAAACGACTTTCGAACGCGTGAAAAGTTTGTCATCAAGTTTTAGGGAGAGGTCAGATCAGTTTATTCTGTCAATTTTTGTCATATCTCTATTCTATCTTTAAAACACTTTCCTAACACACAAAATTTGAGAAGTTTGAATTGCCGATCAAAAAGATAACAGGTGATTGAAATCCCCGATTATTATTTTTAACACTTTAACTACCGCCCAGATTTTTGGTCTTTGACATCACACTATTATTTTGTACTTAACTTTTATAAAATAAATTGTAAAATAAGTAAATTATTGAAGTAAAGTATTGACTTAAAATTTGATATCTTTTATTAGATGTTTGATTTATATGCATAAAAAAAGATATATTAGGTGTTGGAATTAATTCGTAGCGTTTTACAAGTGATGGGAAGTACTTTCATTAATGTATTTTTTAATGCTCATATGAAATAAATAACATTCTTTCATTAAAAAACGCTACGAATTAATTCCAACACCTAATATATACACGCAGCATTGAGGAAATAAATATACACATATTTATCTTTCACTATGAATTCGTAATAAATATTTATATAATATAATTTTAAATTAAATTTTCACATGAAAATAAATTTTAGATAAAATATATTTTTTTAAATAAAAATTTTCCGCTGAATTAATAGGCCTTTTCAAAATTCCCAATATATACTATGTAAAGTATTCTCGGTTAGATAGTAAGTAGGAAATGTGTATTCAAAACGTTATCTGCGATAACTTATACAGGTGTGTGTCTGATTTGGATTGCGATTTCTAATTTCTGCTTTGAAATGGAATCTCAATCTGATGAAAATTGATCTAGTCTTGAAAACAGTTTTTAATCTTTAAAAGTGTGTGTGTGTATGTGTGTGTGTGTGTGTGTGTGTGTGAGAGAGAGAGAGAGAGAGAGAGAGAGAGAGATTTCACACATATTCTTCAGAGTGACAATTCACTCTCAAAGTTTTAAAGAGTACGCGATTTATACCCACAGTTCTCATACTAAAAATCAGTCTGATTCATTAAAGCGTTAACGACATTGATATACGACAATCAAAATGTTGTTGTATACATCTATCCTGACTCCGTGATATTTCTGATTTTTTTCCTTTTTTCTGCAGCATTTCCTATTTTTTAAAAGACGTTAATTAGATAAATAGCGATTTGATCGAACATTCTTCTTTTTAGGAAATCATGTCAGCGGCTGAACCGGAAATGATAGCTGGGTCCGCCGCCGCGGCGTCTTATGGTCTATCATCGTCTGCCATTTTCCTGTCTCTCTTGATACCGGCTTTGATTCTATATTACATCTACTTTAGAATTTCACATCGCCATATGATCGAGTTGGCGGAAAAACTCCCGGGTCCGGAAGGCTTGCCGTTGATTGGAAACGCACTAATGTTCCTAGGAAGTTCGGACAGTAAGGCGATGATGTAAAGATATAATGACGGAGCAAACATATATAAAATTCATATCCTAATTCGGTTATTTAATTCAACTCAGATTATTTAATCAATCTTAGATAAATCAATCCTTTGATCTCAATATTGGTCCATCTCAAAACTGTTCTGATTTTGATATACATCAACTCTAAAGTTAACTTTACATTTTTACTGAGTAATTTTTTGAATTATTTCCTCATTTTTGCTATAATAATCGAGAATAACAAAGGTCTCATGAGTAAAAGCAGTTTAGATCGCGTTAATAGATCGCGAACATTCCAAATCGTGCCAATTAACACCGTTAATTCCGTTCGCCATAATTTCGAGATTGAATTAGAAGTTAATTTGACAATTACGTATCTCCTGTGTATTTTTTTTTACGTATCTCCATGCTATCTATTATTAGGCAGCTTAGATTGAATAACCAAATTTCGCTGACACGTTCGTGAAACTTCCGCATTCCTGTGTCTTTGTGTTGTAGCCATGTTCCGTACCTTATATAGAAAATCCTTCGAGTACGACCAAATTATTAAAATCTGGCTCGGACCAAAGTTGCTGGTTTTTCTTATGGATCCACGTGATGTCGAAATTATCTTATCTAGCCATGTCTACATTGACAAGTCTACTGAGTACCGGTTCTTCCAGCCCTGGCTCGGAAATGGTCTCCTCATCTCTACTGGTGTGTATTAACTACTTCCTATCGATATCTCGGAACTCGTCGTTAGTGGTAAAATAAATTTTCTATACGCGTAAGCATATGCTATCCTCAAGCTAATAATTTTCATTTAACTATCATTAAAGTTTTATTAACTCTCATTAGAAGACTGGGGATAAGAGATATAATAAAAAGAATCTGAAAAAGATCTTACGCAAAGTCTCAATCGAAAGTTATAAATGTGTGAATGTACATTGCCTTATTAACATGCTTCTGAAAAATTGTCTTCGTAACGTAACAATAAATGTAACAATAAAAATGGCAAATAACTCTTTTTTGTGTGAGAAAAACAATAAACGAGAAAGGAAACGGAGAAGGTTCCACATATTTTTCTTCCATCGTTTTGCGCTTGGATGTTACGTTTGGAAAATAGTATTTCCTAATGTTTAGTTTACTAGTATGAAAAACTTCATATAATAATTTTGAAGTATATGTATTATATTGTAAAACAACAAAACAATTATAAGATTACATTTATTATTTATATCTTGATTTCATCTTAATAAAATTTTATGTAATTTCATTTCAAGTATTAACGATTTTATTATTCAAATTTATTTCAGATAATTCTGTGAGATTAAATCATTTACCTGCAGTTGAATTTCAATCAAATGTCTTCTCCTTTTATCTCTCTTTCGACTATTTCCAGATTTTTTAGAGGACAATTTCTAGTTCATTGAGAAAAAGATACTTAAAAATTTATGAGATATTAAAATTATTTATGAAATATTAAAATTGAGATATTAAAATTGAGATGTGAATATTTATTGCTGAAAAAAAGTCCTTATTATGGCGAAAATAATTTTTTTTCGTAGCAACAATTTTATTTTATGTTTTTTTACAATTAATGAGATACAGTTTATAAAAATATTTTCATATTCAGCTAAAAATTTTTTACTACGTATCATTTTATTAAAACAAGTTTTTCTCTATCGTCGTAAATGAACAAAAAATCTAAGAAATATAGAACGCGCGCAGATTCGATGCAACAACGATCGTCGACTATGTATCAACTTTTATCGCCGACTTTCTCGGTATCGCGAGTGAAGGTTCTTTTTCTTATTGACGGAACTCTCTCGCCGAGGCGTAACAGCGCAGCAGCATATACGTAACATGCGTGCCACTTCGGTTAATTCACATGCCTCGTCATGACATCCGGTAAAGGCGTCATGCATACCATACATCTCTTTTCTTTTTTTTCTTCCTCTTCCTCCTAGATCACTTCACACGAGTTTGTTTAACCGCTCATGGTTGTATAACGGTCACATAATTCAGATGTTGTCGTATGGCTTCTCATAACTGCACTTGCCTGGATCATGCGCGTGATTGTATCGAGTTTTGCAATTCGGTGAAATGAAAGAGCAACTAGAGAAAGTAAGAATTGCTCGAATAAAACAAAAGATCAAATAAATGAAATGTTTCTTCATACATAAAACCAATATATCTTCTCTTGCACAAATATAATTTAAGAAAGAAAGATAAGAGATGAATATAAGACGTTTTTGCTGAAATTGACGATTATGAAACAGGATATCTAATCTATCTGTAATTTAAGAAACTGGTTTGTTGACAAACTAATATACAATTATTCAGTACGCGCGAAATTGGAGACAACGCGTTTAAATAAATGCTCAGCGAATCATTATCTCCTTTTCTTACAGTACCGAGAAAGTCGATAATAAAAGTTAGTGCGCAGTCGGCGATCGTTGTTACATCAAATTGTTACGCACGTGCATGCATTTTATTTCAGAAAAGATGATTTTTTTGAAAATATTTAAAATTTTAACTAGAAACAGATCTGAAAATAATTCTGCGAGATCATTATAATAGTAAGAAACTCAAGCTGATCGCTAGAATGTCAAAACTTTTACAATGCTGTGCATTAGGCTTGAGTTTATTGGAATTATTTTGATTCATCAAAATTATTTTCAGATTTGTATTTAATTAAATTTTTATATATTTAAAACTGTCTAAAGTATTGTACAATCTTAAAATGTCCATAAAGTAAATAAACCATTGTCAATAAAGTATCATAAACCAATCACAGAACAATATTAGCATCTTAAGATATTACTTAAAATGATTATTTAAACTTGTAGTGAGAACAGACTTTGATATTCATATTTTTTTTTATATTTAAGACTGTTTTAAATACAATATATTAAAATATATCTTAAATACAATCATAAACAAATATAATACAATATATTAAAATGTATCTTAAATACAATATAAACCTGTTATATGTAGTATAAAGCTGTGTTAGCATCTTAAAATTACTTAAGATAAAAAAGCATCAATATTAGATATTAGACTAACACGTATATATATATATATATGTATTTTTAAATTTATCTCAAAAATGACTGCGAACTAATTATTTTCGGTCTTTTAATATTAGGTGTAGTAAAAAGAAATCCATTATTTTTACTACACCTAATACAATCAATGTGAAATATTAATAATTTCCCCAAATTTAATCAGATTTTTGATTTGATGCTAATAGCCTCTGAAAATCTGTAAAAAATTTATTATGAAAATTATAACTCGATCTTTATATTTAGTTGATTTACTTAAATAAACTATTTATAAGCTTAATGTTGTTTACGTAACATGGTTTTGAAATAAGATTCAGAATGAATGTCGCCTTATAATATTGATAGGTTTTTTATTTATGATATAATGACAAAGAATCTTTAAATACCATATTAATATGACTTGATAATTGTAATGAAAATCTTTAAATAGCATATTATGTTGATTACAATCGTAACTTCAAGATCACTAGATTTTTTCCATGTATTTTTTTACATAACAAATATAAGCATCTCGCGATACATTTATATATATGACGTGAAAAAACATTTTTAATTAAAACATCATTTATTGAGATATGATAATGATTTTTAATTAAAAATTATTATCATGTTAAGAGTTTATCAATTTATCACAGATTTATCGTCAACAAAAAAATATATTGAATAATAATATCATAGAATTTTTAAAAATCATTTTAACTTAATGTTATCTTGATTTTATTATCTCGATTTAGTGTTCTAATCTGGAAAGCCTCGACGTCTATGAGCGTGGCATGTGCACGAAACACATTTAGAAAGAGCTACGCGGGGGAGAGAGGAATGGAGAGTGAAATGTAATCAGTCCGAGTAATCAGGACGCAAAACAGGAAGGAAATTTGCACGCGCAGTGCTTTCTCTCCCTAGCTCCGTTTCCCCGCGTATATATACGCGCATCGTAGTCTTTCCTACACAATTACGACAATCTCTATTTCTTCGGGTTTGTTCTTTGTCGCTAGACTAGACTGCACTTTCTATCTTGCTTTCGCCAAACTTCAAATATATGCACAGAAAGGCCAGTTTTGTCGTTGAAAAAATTTTTAATTTAATTTAATTAGATACAACAGATCTGAAAATAATTTCGTTGGATTAGAATAATTGTGTAAAATTCACAAATTGATTGCTGAAATGTTAAAACTTTTTGCAACATTGATCATCATATGTGAAATTCCTATTTAATTATTTTGAATCCAATAATATTATTTTTAGATCAAACTAAATTTTTAGATACTTCAGCAAAAACATTCTTTCTGAGTCTATTTTTATTTACAGTAGCAAACAAAATGAATTGAAACGAATTGAAATGAATTCAGATTTTCAGAAATATTGATTCACGAATATTAAAATGAATGTTTTTCAATCCTGAATGCATTTTTATTTATTTATAGGAATTGTATGGAACATATCTCTATGCCTTTTAATCTAAAAATAATATTAGCTTTTTCTGTGCATTGCGAATACTGTTCAATTCAAAATTTTGAATAGGAAATGCAGTTTTTCAATCTAATTGCATTCAATTGAATCTAATAGAATTCAATTGACTACATACACAACACAATTAAATCCAAAAAAAAGTATTTGCTATTTAAAATACGCATTCGGATCGAAAAAAATTTCAATCTATTTTAATCCATTCTCGTTTGCTGGGTAATTCAAATATAAGTGTACTCCAATATTTACAGTCATGAAGCATACATCTTCCGTCCCACACATTGTAATGTATAATATTATCTTGCTCTTTCTCTCACTCCCCGAGTCTTTTTCCTTCGCTCATTCTTCTTCTTACTTCCGTGTGTTCAATAAAAAGTCTTCAAACACAGGCACCGAATACAACAGGAATGGGGAAAGGGAGGAAGATGGAAATTTACGTTAAATTTACATCTCCATGAAATATATAACTCTTTTTCTTTCTTCTCTTCTGATTTTGTTCTACTGTTAATATTACTGATATAACATTAGTTAATACATATTGTCTGTCTAATTTTTGTATGTTTTATCACATATGTTCGTCACAATAGAATTTTTATATTATAACAAGTATAATAAAAGATTGCACGTAATATAATTAGAAACGAAAATTATTAATTAAATGCAATCTTTAGTATTATAAAAACACCACAGATTGTTTATATAAAAAAAAATGAAGCGATTACTTCTGAATTAATAATGTATTCTAATTCGTCTCGCATCATGACAATTCGCTGAAAATATTCAGGATGAATCACTTCAGATTCGATCGTAGCAAAGAAATGGAGAATTTTATTATTTATAAAAAACCAATTGATAATAAGTGATCTATTACAGGTTCAAAATGGCGCGCTCATCGCAAATTAATCGCGCCGACGTTTCACTTAAACATACTTAAGAGTTTCATCGATCTCTTTAATGCTAATTCGCGTGCAGTGGTGGAACGAATGCGTAAGGAAGGCAACAAGGAATTCGATTGCCACGACTACATGTCCGAGTGTACAGTCGAGATCCTTCTCGAGACTGCCATGGGTGTCTCCAAGTCCACGCAAGACCGAAGCGGCTTCGAATATGCCATGGCTGTTATGAAGCAAGTATTCAATATGCAAATTCCAGATTTGATGAATAGAAAATAGAGATAAAAAAGAAAGACATCGATTGTTTTATATTTCTAGTTTTATATTTCTTGTTTTATATTTATTTTTAATAGATTTTAATTGGAAATTCTCTGATCAACATGTTCTCAGCTAGGTCTGACTTTTTCTTGTAGCTAAAATATTTTGAATTTATAAGATCTTGGAATTTTCTTTTTCTTAGAACTTTAGATTTGTAAAAAAACATTATCAACAAGTTTCCACGTTGTAAAATTTTTATGCAATTTTATTCCTTGAAATATTTGAATATTTTCATATGTTGAAGAAATATATAAGCTGGATATCTCGTTATTATCTTATCGTTGTATAGGATGTGCGATATTCTTCATCTGCGTCATACGAAAGTCTGGCTCAGACCGGACTGGCTGTTCAATCTGACGAAATACGGAAAAGATCAAATCCGTTTGTTAGAGATCATCCACGGACTCACAAAGAAAGTTATCGCACGCAAGAAGCAGGAATTCAAGAACGGCAAACGCAATGTCATTGACGAGTCTAAAAATAGCAATGGCAAGACCATTAAAGTAGATAATTTTCAAGTTGGATAATTTTCAGAAAAAGCTACATTGAACAATGGACTATTAACACATAATATATTGTCCTTAGAGCACATCTGTGGAAGGACTTTCCTTCGGACAGGCGGCTGGTCTAAAAGACGACCTCGATATAGAAGACAATGACGTTGGTGAAAAAAAGAGACAAGCTTTCCTCGATCTGTTGATGGAGGCCGGTCAGAACGGTACTGTGCTGACAGACGAAGAAGTCAAGGAACAGGTCGACACTATTATGTTCGAGGTAGACATCGCGAGATATGATATTCAGACCAAGACTGATATTCAGATTGGCTAGTCAATTCTTATATTTAAGACTGCCTTAAGATATCATGAATCAATCAGAGAGATGCTTTATCTCAAGACATTATTTAAGATGATCTTGAAATAAGGACAGAACTATAAATATTAACCTGACTACTTTGAGAGGATCAAAGTAATTTTAATTAATAAGCCATCTGTTCTGTCATACATTTTCATAGGGACATGACACGACCGCGGCTGCATCCAGCTTCTTCTTGTCGATAATGGGCTGTCACCCGGACATTCAAGAAAAAGTTATCCAGGAACTCGATGAAATCTTTGGCGACAGCGACAGACCTGCGACCTTCCAAGACACTCTGGAAATGAAATACCTCGAGCGATGCCTCATGGAAACTCTTCGCATGTACCCACCTGTCCCTATCATCGCGCGTACTATCAAAACAGACTTGAAATTAGGTGAGTTCTTAAAATTGGAATGTCTGCATGAAAAGAAGGCAAGATGAAGTGTGCATTATCGACTTCTTTGATCAAATAATTTATTATACTTCTAAAAAAATTATACGATTGCCGTTTCAGTATCGGGAGATTATACGATCCCAGCTGGGAGCACGGTGATAGTAACGACCTTCAAGATGCACCGGCAGCCACACATCTATCCGAATCCAGAAATTTTCGACCCCGATAACTTCCTACCGGAAAAGACCGCCAATCGGCATTATTACGCTTTTGTGCCGTTCTCGGCTGGACCGCGTTCCTGCGTGGGCCGCAAATACGCCATGCTGAAGCTGAAGATCATCCTGTCTACGATCATGAGGAACTATCGCGTCAAGTCAGACATCAAAGAGTCCGATTTTAGACTTCAGGCCGACATCATTCTCAAGCGCTCGGAGGGTTTCAAGATCAAATTGGTGCCGAGAAAGCAGGCAGCCGCCACCGTTTAAAGCTGTATCTCTTTATAGCGTAGTTGGGTAGAGGATTTAGGAATACGGAAAGCGAGGAGGCGAGCCGCGAAATTCGCGGTGGCCTTTTTTCGAGGAACCTCATACGGATCTCGTACGCGCATGAGTAAAACAAACGCTGCGAAGTTACATGTACATGTTGTATATTATTGATCTTATCGTTGTATAACATACATTTATCGGTTATGTTTATATTTATCTCATACAATAAATTGCGGCATTTATTGAGACGCAAAACCTGAGAATCGACTATTTCCTCGTTCACGACTGGGAGAGATGAAATGAAAGGCCAACTCAAAAATGTGCAAAGACATGACGTAGGAATATTCACGAGACAGATTGGAAAGGGCTTTCCCGAAGAACTATCGAAAGCCAATCCCAAGATTGCAGAAGCGACGACGATCAAAACTGTCGCGAGAACCCGATTGAAGATGGGGAAGGTTAAAGACGAACTGAAGGCGATGCTTCCGATTTTAACGCCTTCAGAAGTGAGAAGGTCACTTTATTTTTTTGGAATAAAAAATATATCTTCTCTCTCAAAACGAACTTTTTTTTCCCCTACCAGATTCTTTCGTTTTACATACAAACGCATCGAATAGTATAATTAATGCAATTATAATAGAAATTAATAGCAATTATTACAAGAATGATTTTATTAATATTGAAATCGAAAGTGGGTTGAACTGAATAATTATCTCCTCTATTTTTTCTCTCAATTTTCTTCCGTTTTTTGAGGTGCCTCGTCGCGACGCTTATTTATACCGTCATTTGCCTCAATTATCCTTTCTTTCTTTTTATCTGAATTGTAAATAAAATATAAATATTCCATCAAATTTGTCCTTTTATAATCGATATTGCTCTATCTTCGAGTAGATTTCATTTACTACCTCACGAAGCGATCATTGACGAGCTCGAAGAAGGCAATTATGAGGAATCAATCCGATATTTGAAAGAATTATTCGAACTAAACGAGGAGATTCATAGGAAGACTACTACTCCAATATGGGACTTAAAGAAGAACAAGAACGCGCTGTCGCGCTTAAGAGATGGCTTGATCATTGTCGAGCAAGCCAAAAATGCTGGTGGGAAAGAAAATTGATGTATATACGGAAAGAACGATTTGTTGAAATATTTAAAAATTTAGCTAGATATATACAGATACAAAAATAATTAACAATAAATGACATAATTTTGGAAGTAATTTTCTAAGTAATTTGAACAATAATTTGTTAGAAAATGCTCGTGTTAATTATTAAAATATAAAAATTTTTGTGCTCATCATGCTTGACTTTTTTACATATGTATGTGTGATGATTGTTATTTTGAATTGTTCTCAATACAATTAAGATATTCCTCAATACAATCATGATAATTCCTATATCATTGATCTTTGACACTTGAAACTAAAGTACGATGTACAAAGTACGAGTATTATGGTTAAAAATTTTCTGAATATAGGAGACTATATTTCTGCGGCTGCAGAATTTCTAAATATGGCGCTATCCTTTCAAGCAACTTGGGAATGGTGGTGGATGACGGAGCGGCTTTATCGTAGCGCTCTGGAGAACGCTGAATTGATCGAAGATGATAGCCATCAGATGAGCACCTTCGTACATTACCTGTACGGCCGATTTCTGTTCGAGCAAAGTTAGCGAAACACATTACATATGCAAATTAGCACACAAATGGATTCGGCGGACAGGTCACGACTTCTTATTCATTTTCTGTATAAATAGCCATACTGATTTAGTTTGTTTCCGCAATTAGTATACTATCGTTTCAATATGCAGTTGAATATTTATTATTAATAAAATATTTACATACGTAGTATATTTGCAATAGATTATAAATTAATAGCTACGTTAAGCAGAAAAAGCAACTTAAATACTATAATATTAGATATTAAAAACGCTACGAATTAATTCCAACACCTAATATATTATATCTTTATATTGATAAAAATAATTTTATCTCCTTTCGGATCTAAAAGTATAATTAACGTAAAGCGCTTATTAAGTTACTTTTTCTATTAAACGTAACCGATCATTATAAGTTAGTATTATAAATTAATATCAATATAATTACATTCGCGCGGTGCAATCAGTACAAGATACGGCAGGGTCGCTATATCACTTAAATATCGCACGTGAAGCGTCTCAGGAGAAGTTATGGAATGCGTCGAAGATAACTGATCGAAAAGAAGAGACCATCTTTCAAGAATGCAACGTGCTTCTGTATAAAGTATTACTGATGCACGCGCAACAAGTCGGCTGCGATCAACCGGATGTCGCTGTGAAAACATGCACCGAAGCTCTCGTGCGAGCGACGGACTGTAAGCTGTTTTTTATTTAAAAAAAAAAAAAGAAAAAAAGAGGAATAGTAAAATATTTGCCTATTGAGAGTTACATCACTTCAGGATTTTATTAAAATGTTATCCTATTATTTCAAATTTGGTTCTTTCTTCTTCTAAATATTTAATTCTTTCGAAAATCGTTAAATTCAATTTTCACTGCATCAATTAGTCTCTCATTATCAGTAAAATTCAGTTTTCTTGAAATTATAAAAAAAAACCTCATCCTACGAATCATTAATCAGCCTCACATCCGTAGCTGGACATTACGAATACATAGCGAATGTTCTATACGAACTGGGGATGAATCAGTTGCGATTGCGCGACGTGGAAGTTGCCTTCCAAAACTTGTCCAAATTCCTGGCGATGATTAAGAGAATCTCGGACCCGGAGGGAATATGCAATGCGCATATGGTGATGGCACTTGCGTACAAGTTATGTATCACGATAGAATGATTAATGTGGAGAACGTCGAGTAAAAAAATTCCAAAATTTTTTTTATCTATATTTTACCATCGCACATGCACGCATTTATTATGCGATCTTAATTTCGAAAAAAAAAAATGCGAATTTTTAACGTAATTCTTACGAGCGATTCATATTTGTAGGAATTGAACGACGATATAAACACGGAGAAGTATCTCCAGTTACTCATGGAAAGTGCAGTCGAATCTGGACTTACGAGAAAAGTAGCACAGGCACACTACTGCATTGGCGAGCATTTTTTGAATAAGGTATGGAATCATGAAATGTTGGATAACAAAAAAGGGGGAGGGGATAGAAATGACAAGATTATTGAGGAATATCTTATGTGAGAAATTATTACATTTTCCTGAATTCTTATGTTGTACAAAATGGCCCATTAGAAACGCGCTTGTAACGATAGTGCCTATTTAGCATATATATTTCACATTACATATACAGACTTGCTTAGAATTTCAGAAATAAAAATGCAGATTTATCGATAAAAGCGCGATCTGAATACGGACCAATATATCTACCTTAAATATATACAAATTACATATGCGCTAAGTGATACCTGATCAGTGTCGTAAAATATTAATAGAATATTTCCTTGGAGAGTTAACAATGTAAAAACAAGTTTGTATTTTTTTTTAGAGGAGGCCAGATATTGCAACCTTTCATTTAGAAAAATCCTTTGAATTGTATAACAAACTTGGTTTATGCAACGATGCTGATAAGGCGCGAGTCTTTGCCGGAGTTTCGAAAGGCTAGTTATACTTCTTCAACACGTAAACTGTAATATGAGACGCATTTATAATGCCTTCGTTTTTTTTAACAGGGCAAGAAACCATTGATCAATATATCCATCTTGTGCAGCAGTGCGGAACCGCCGATCCGAAAGCAATAACAATGCTTTGTCAATGGAAAAATCGTAGAAGCGTTTTTTGGACTGAAAAAGAAGAGAAGAAGCTACACGCTGGTAAGAGACAACATTTCATAATCAATCAAAATTTAAATAAAATCTCTACCAGAGTTTACCTCTTGCAATTCTTAAATATCTTGAATATCACGTCTTTATAATACATCACAAGTAACTCAATGCAATATTATCATATATTTTAGAAAGTTCAGAAAAGTTTGCTCAAGGAAACCAGAGGTGATGTCTCATGGTCGTAATGTGCTCTCAGCATTTGACATAATTTTTTGTAGTAAATAATATAATGCATAATATAAACATTCACAATTACATCAATGAACGTCTTTTATAAATGGCATTCTAGTATTACGGTAAAAATTAAAATTTAATAATTACAAATTTAATTTTAATAAAATAAAAATAAGTACTTTTGAAATTAAAAAAACAACGAAAGGATTAACGAAAGCAATTGAAAGTCAGCGCCTCCAATAATTCGCAATGTTTTTTTACAATCCTTGCACATTGTTTGCGACCTTCAGTAGTCTTTTTATTGTTTTTTCAATTTAAATATTAATGATATATTAAAAATGTAAAGAAGATATTAGCGATGCTTTTGTGTGCAGTTAAGTAATATTCTTTATATATATATATATATATATTTTACTGTTGCAGCCAATTAAAAATGTTATACTATCCATATTTTACTATCTAAATTGCTAAACAGCCAATTTTTTCTTTTAGTGTAGTTAATTACAGTCAAGAATTATCAAAAATTTTCAGCTCTAATTGGCTAATTTATATGATGCATCTTACGGTTACTGTAATAAGTAAGCGGAAAGTGTGTACGGTAGCTCTTAAGCAATTTAAGGAAGGCAATGAATTGTTAATATATATATATATATGTATATATATATATATATATTCATATTAAAAAAATTCCAATTTTAAAATAATGTAAACAAACAATGCATTGTTTGATATAAGAATTTAAAAAATTTACAAGGTCAAAGGCTAGTATTCAGTCCATACTTATTTTAAGACCGTCTTAAGTAATGTCTTAAGATGCTAATAACAGCCTTCTAATTAGCTTATATACATGTTAAGACTGTACTTAAGACAGTCTCTTCTTCCTTTTCGTTAGGCCTCTGACCTGTGTTACACCTCTCATATGCTTGTGGTGTGCACACTGATTATTCAATTGTCACAAGCATATGAGATTTACAGTCAGAAAGTTGCTGGCCTTTTCCAGAAGAAATACGAGCGTAAATATTTTGATTCCTACCCGGAACGAACTGGGGACTTGTCATGATAGACCAGTACACTTTTTGCTATGTTATGCATCGTACTCGCGAAATTTAAGACAGAATCAAATATAAGAATTGACTATGAATATCGACCACAGAGCCACATTAGCATCTTAAGACATTATTTAAGATGATTTAAAAATAAAAACCATCTATGAATACCGACCGAAATAATTATATTATGTATACGTTATAATATATCGATAACATTGAGCATATAACAAAAAAACAATATAGTTTTTCAAAAAAAAAATACACCAATAATTATTATCACTTCAGTAATTTCTGCAATTTATAATGAAACTTCACAGAACGTATTCATTATATAACAATTATCAATACGACATTTGCTCCTCAAAACCTTTTTACAATTCTATATTCGAAAATTTTTAAATTTATTTACGATTATTACCTATGATGAATCAATTGTTTTCTTATACTAAAAAATAGAAACTTATATCGTGTGAACAAAATGCAAATTACATAGATTTCTGACAAATTATTGTGCAAACATTTTTATAATATTATTCTGTATTTATGCTGTGGTCTTATATATATATAATTATATTGTTTTAATATATATATATATTTTTTTTATCATCTACATATAATATTACAAACACAGGCTTACTTTTACATCTTAATTTTACAACAAATTAGTCCTTTCTGCATTTAATGCAAAAATTCTACAGCACAGCTTTATATATATATAGCTAATCTGTTCTGTTATTTGAAAAATAGTGTGAAGTCCTATTGTGAATGCTATTGTGATACCTATATTTAATACTTAACGAACGTTATTCTTAACAATATAAGTTAAAATGTAGCAACGAAAGCTTTGTGAATTTGATCGAAGACCGCCCGATCGTTGCAGTCTTTCCAATTTTCATCTAATATAAGAAATATAAAGTGCAAATTACCTTGAAAACTTCAGCATGCTGAAGAATAAGTTTGTGATAAAATATACGTCCATAAGATATTCGACGATTTACGCTCTTTCTTTCAATCAATTTAAATTCCCTGTAGCTGTAAATAGATACGCATTGCACACATGACGAAGATACATTTCTCAGATAAAAACGGGACCGAATGTACAGTAGTGATTGTTTGCTACAGGCACAATTAGTTCAACATAATACCATCATCGTCTATATCCATGACACTAATTGGATCCAAGGATGGCATATCAGCACTCTTGCGTATCTCACGTGATATGTTCTCCAGTGTTTCCATTTCCATTCCAACATCCTCTACCAAAGTCTTCGTAATAATCTCTTCTCGCTGCTGAACTTCAGCAGCAGCAAGATCAAATACTTCCTTCAATATCTCAGTTGCCGCATCCGCAGAGCTATTATCCGGGACATAAGTTGAATCTTCCTGTATTTCATACTTATTATTCATTACATTACTCTCGACTACCAACTCCTCGAGTTCTTTTAGCTCCTCTTCTAATTTCCTGTGCTTATCTGTTTGGATTGTGTCTTCCATCTCTTTTTTCGTTCCGTCGACATCGTTGTCGCTGTTTATTGTAATATCTTCAACGTCGTCTTCCATCACTTCGTGTGTTTCGCCATTTAGAAGATCTGGCATATCTCTTACACTATTAGATTCATCAACATCTGCAATAATTTCGACTTCTGTATTTTCTTCATTGGACTTATTTTGTTGTTCTTGCAATTGTTCGATTTCTTCATCTATAGCTATTATGTCATCTAAATCATTTTTTTCATTTAATGTTTCTGTTTCATCAGTCGGTAAAATTTCTGGGAGATTTTCTTCTGACTCTTCTATATGTATCTTCGAAGACTCATCTATTAAATCGCTTTGTATTTCTGGTTCTTCTATTATTTCATCTCTATCACCATCTATGAAGTTATTTTCTAAATTATTTTCACAACTTTCGTCTTGATCCTTGTTATCCTTTGTTCTATTATGATTTGATAAAATTGATAAGCTAGTCATTTCATTATCGTTCATTGCTTCATTATCTTTATCATTATTATATTCACTAATAGTATTTTCTTTTTCTGTGGAAGGAACTTCCGTGTCATTTTTTATTTCTACATCTTTGTCTTCTTCCTCATTTTCATTCTCCACGTTTTTATAATCTTCCAGTATAGCAATAGTAGCTTCCTGTGCATCATTGTCTTCAAATTTGTCATTATCTCTGTCTGACGTTTTATTTTCATTTTTCGTCGTATGTTCATCCTTTACATCTTTATCCGGTCTACCTTCATTATCCCCTATCTTTATTACTGTATCGTCCGGGGTAACTGAATTTTCACATTTTTCAGATTTTGTTTTTTCAATGTTTTCATCATTTGTAGATTCTTCTTCTAAGCGCGATTTACTCGTCGCTACGTCCAGTTTATCGTCTATGTCACCACTTTTGTCATTTTTTTCTTCCATTTTTTCCTTTGCATTTTTTGTATCATCTAAACTGCAGGGCTCGTCGTTAGTATTGTCTTCGATATTGACAATGACGTCCTCCGGATCATCGATATATTTGTCGACGGATGTAATTCTATCGGAACGTGACGTTGCTTCTTCAGAAATCTCATCTTGTGAAATGAGATCTATTTCCTGTTTCACCTTAATATTCGAAACAGTTATCTTTTCTAGTTTTAATGCAGCTTGCTTGAGATGTGTCAATTTATGTTTCGCACTGGACAACTTAGAGTCAAATTTCTTATTACATTTGTCGCAAGTGTACTCAGTTTTAACTTCTGACTGTGACAGAGATTTCGGGCTTTTAAATTCCGTCGATGTCATTTCTGTGCTGGACATAGAAGACGATCTTGTCCTATTGCGGATATTGCTTTCTTGTTCTTTTTTTGTAGGCGCAGTCGAATTCGTAGCTTTTAGTCTACTTTTTAAACTCTTATTTTCTTCAATGGATATCTCGTCGCTAGAGTCAGAACGCGCACTTGAGGTTGTTCCTTTCGTTTTCAGTTTTTTCTTTGTATTATTTACACTTTCATTTAATTTAATTTTATCTGTTTCTTTTTGTTTCTGAGAACCTTCAGAATCAGAACTCCTATTATCTATTATTCTTTTACGTCCCCGCGTTTTCGTCAAATGTGTGTTGGACTGTTGCTCTGCATCAACTGAAATTTTTCGCTTCTGTGGACTGTCAGAATCCGAACTCCTATTATCTATTAGTCTTTTACGTCCTCGCTTTTTCATCTGTTGAGTACTGGACTGTTGTTCTGCATCAACAGACGCTTTTTGCTTTTGAGAACCTTCAGAATCCGAACTCCTGTTATCTATTCTTTTACGTCCTCGCGTTTTCATCAATTGAGTACCGGGCTGTTGTCCTATATCGATTGTCGTTTTTGGTGATTTCTCCTCGTTCGAGTTCGTGTGTTCATTACTGACTCTTGTCACTTTCGATGGTGTACGTTCGACATCACTTCTCGACCTCACTATGCTAATTTTCCGTTTCCTTCCTCGTCTTGCTTTACCATTGATTATGTGATTCCTCATTTTAGGTGAAATACTCAAAGAACTAATTTCTTCGGAATATTTTCCTTCTTTCTGAGAATTAATGAACAATGCATTATCATCCTTATCTTTTTCGTGTACCTTACCTTTCTCTGTATTATGCATCTCATTTTTCTCCATTTTGCATGCCTTGTCTTTGACCGTCTCGCGTGTTTTGTCCTTTTCCGTCTCGCGTGTTTTGTCTTTCTCCGGCTCGCGTGTTTCGTCTTTTTCCGTCTCGTAGGTTTCGTCTTTTTCCATCTCGTGTGTTTCGTCTTTCTCCGTCTCGCATGTTTTGTCTTTCTCTATCTCATGTGTTTCATCTTTCTCCTCTTTCTTAAGTGACTGGCTCAATACATCTTTCAAAAAAACCGCACATAATTTCGTTTCTGTCTTGGATTGTATCTGGCGAGATCGTCGCTGCGACTTAGCAATACTCGGATCCATCGTTATCCAACAATTTTTGCAAACCGTTAGACCCGTGCGATAAAATCTATACATGTCGATATCATTCGCAACAGTATTATGACACTTGTCACAACTCCTGACTTTCGATTTGTTGCTTCGCGGTTTCATTTCTACATTCACACTCCGCGCCTTACGTCCTTTAATATGCCGCTTACCACGTGCCATGTCCTCGTTACTATCACTATCAGAATTTATTGAACCATAAAATGTAATATCTGGAAACGTGGTAATGGTCGTTTTACGATTTACAACATCTGTGTGGATCTGCAATAAAATAAATATAA